CAATACTGTATTTTATGTTTTAAATGTTATTAATTAAACAATAATATAATATCAAACTATATACATATTATAAAATAGTTTATTTTACCTATTGGTTTATAATAAATTATAAAAAATAATGAAAAAATACTTTTACGTTTACGTTAATTATACGTGACATTTTAGTATTGTATATATAATTATTAATAGTAGCTTATAATCATTGCAGTTGATATAGCGAGGGTCGGATTGCGGACTAGGACTCCGGCTAGTTTGGGCCCCAGACTTCATGTTCAATGTTCATATTTTAAAATTAAATAAGTTTACCATTTATTTAGTAACTGTATTTTAACATACAACATGTCTTAAAATTTTAAAGGGTTTCTTATTGATTTTAGATTTATAAAATAAATTTATATTATTTCTAAGAAAAATCAGTCGCTAGCTAATAATATATTATTATCTTGTCGGCTTTGGCTTATAATATATTATATTTATGGATTACGTAATATATTATATTATATTGTGAAATCGATTTTTCTCGTAATGCTCTGAGGGTCTAATAGGTTTTTTCTATCCTAATGATATAATTAATAAAGTGCTGCACATAGTGAAATATTAAAAAAAAAATTAATATATTAATTTCTACCTAATAAAAAATATTGACAGAATTGCAGCACACTATTAAATTTTTTTACATCCTCAAAGAGTGTACACGGAATTACAAAATTTGATTAACGATGGCACTGCGAGCTAAGCGAGTAAAAAATTTTTAGGGCCCTTCCATTCGGGGCCCCCCTTGAATTAATTTCCCGGTAATATAAAATAGCCCTATCCGCCCCTGGGTGTGTCCGTCATATCATCAAAACGATTAAACTGCATTAACGCAATCATCAGATATTATAATCAAGGCTTATCATAAATAATAACTAGTTGAGCGGATAATGTTAAGTTAAAAAGTAACTAACTAAATAATATAATGAGCACATTTTTAACTAACTAACTATTCTTAAGACTTTCACAATAGTTACAACAATCGAAAAATAACTTTCAAATCTAAACTTAACATTTTTTTACATTATTCAAATAAATTACATAACCTTGATCATAATCTTATCGTAAATTAAGAAGACGCTAAACCCGCTTGCGCTGTCTCTGTCTTACAATAATTAAATTTTCAAACTTGAATAACTTTTTTTGTATTCGTGATGTAGAAAAAAGTAAAAACAACGTTGTACATTAAATGTTCTATAATATTCTAATATCATTTTTTAGTTATGGCTATAACTTTCTTGGTTATTTTCCACGTAAAATAGTTTATGCTAAGGTTTACATTTTGTAAACCAGGTGTAGAATCCTTTAAGGAAATTTACTATTTTATTTTTCAGGCACGCCAAAAAACATTAGTGTGTAGACCATGCACTAATCTCACCATTATACCATATTAATAATTTAAAATTAATAATCAATACGATTTATTTATTTTTGACCTGTTTAATATTATAATTATCGTCGTCCGGAATAAGCCCGTACTCCTACAACAACTACACCATTACCCAAAACGGCCAAAACCGGTATAAATAATTATTATCAAATTTGTGATGGAAAAAAAAATACTAAACCTTTTCCATGGTCATAATTATTTAATATGTTAAACGCGAGTACAAAACTCATTAAGTTCACGAATCAATCTCCTCTCGTCAAACTGTCTATTCCAGTAATCGTTGAAATCAGCCGCTGATGAGCTGTCCCGTTAAGTATCAAACTTATATTATGCAAAAATTAAGTACATAATTAATATGAGGCAATTAGGAAAAATCTAATTTTTAGAATTTTAAACAAAACAATATTTTATTTCCTTAAAATATTAATGCAGTTCAACCATATACTTTGTTTGCTTAACAAAAAAATCAATTATTTTCCGGTCTGGTATGGTCGTAATCCAAGGATTTTCTGTTTCCTGCCAAATCGACATCGTGTTTTTCGTAAGCGTGTGAAATTGTATCTACTTATCGTGGTAATTCAGTTTAATGTACATAGAACAAGATTCGTCGGACATTTATTTTAAGTGAACAAGTAATACGATAAACACAATATTACTATGATACGTATCTGTTTTTATTCTTTATATAAAAATAATATTCAAAAACCCAAACGCTTGACAAGTCCTAATATTTTTATTTTTTATTCTGCACATAGGATTTTTCAAGAAAAAAATCTGATGAATATTCGCTACTGTGTTCATTTTATTCACACAGAATGTGTAAAGAAACGTTTATTACTATTCGAGGCTTGCTTTCAAAGTTATCTTAAAATATTATAAAATACATAGGTACAAGTATTATTATATTATTATCGGCGCGTTATAAATGCCATCACAATTATTATCGCCATCATTATTTGTATTATTATTATTATTACAACTACAACAATCTGGAAATCATTGTAAACTATCATCCGCAAAGCAGAAGTTAAATTTCAAAATATATTATTATTATTGTATTATCGTAGCAATATCATTATCAGTTTGAATCCATTCTCTATACGGTCGTCTCCGTTTCTTGCGATATTGCATTTTTATTTAATAATATATTCTATCCACATAATGTTATATTTCACGCATTATTTATTTATTTATTTTTACACTATTGCAGCCCGCCCGTGGATGGGATGTTCGGTGTTCTGTCGGCGCAAAGATACCGGGTCGTTCTACACTCCCAGGTTGGATGTGTCAAACTTACCGGTCGATCCGTACTTCCCTGACGGAACTTGGTGTCACTCTGCGGACAACGATAACTATTACTGTCTGAATCATGTCTGCACGTCCGAGGTAAGATAACCATTGTTTGTCTTATTTTATCTTTGCACATTATAAATGTCTATAAATGTTGGCGGACCACGCAGAGTAGTTGCTCTTCGCAGTCGACCACATACAGTACTTCCAATAATAATATGACACTAGTGTAGAGACAAAAAGTCAATGTKATCCTTTATAAGACTGCAAATTTCAAAACTACTGTCACAAAATCACAAATGTCCTATCATAAACCACCTCCTTCCACCTTTTGTTAGGGATCTCAATCGGGGTGGTACCGAATTGGTTCCCGTTTGAAAAATATATTTTATTAAATTGTTGAATTTTACAATCTAGTTACCTATAAGAGCTTAACAAATAAGATAATATATTAACACACTCCAAGTCCTCAAAGAATCTAATGGTATAACTTTTTACTGATAATGGTCCAGTACCTATTTTTTGAGTTTTAAGTCTATTAATTTCGAATAAATCAATATAGGTAAGAAATATCGTGACCAAATACCAAAATTATTATATCTAATCTGTCGACAAATCATAATAATTATTATTATATTATATGTAAACCAGTGACAATCGCATGGCGACCGATTATACAAGGTGATTTTTTTATCATGAACCACTCATTATTTCAAAAAGTATCAATGTTTTTGAAAATATTTTTTTATAAAGTTTCGTGTTGTTAAAAAAACAACGTTTTTACTTTTTTGAATGACAACCTAGAGTTTTAATTTCTTATTCCAAAGCAGAATATTTTTCTAAGTATTTTGATACGTAAAAATCGAATTTTGGACGAGTAGTTTATGAGTTATAAGTATTTAAAGTTTARATTGRTAGAGTGGAGTGGTACGGGGTTACCCCGCAAAATGTTTTTCCACTAGACCACTTCTGTAAACTTTAAATACTTATAACTCATAAACTACTCGTCCAAAATTCGATTTTTACGTATYAAAATACTTWRAAAAATATTCTGCTTTGGAATATGAAATTAAAACTCTAGGTTGTCATTCAAAAAAATAAAAAACTTAAAAAAATATAAGGATAGAAACATTAAAAAACATAATTTTATAATAAAAACGTTGTTTTTTTATCAACACGAAACTTTGTAAAAAAATATTTTCAAAAACATTGATACTTTTTGAAATAATGAGTGGTTTATGATAAAATAATCACCCTGTATAAACAAAATTCTAATTTCTACTATCATTGTATCATATAGTATATTATGATCTGACAACCATTTATAAACAAAAACAAAGGCCTTTCAGTTTTTTTCGAATTTTCGGTATACCAAATTTGGAGGAGGGTTATTACTTATTATCATTCATAAATGCAATACTAGGGAAAATAATTGGAACTTGAAAGCGTTAGCTGACTATAGGCCTATTATCCATTTTCTTTTCCAATATATCTCACTGGTTTACCATCCTCTTTATTTACCAAAATATATTGTTATTACACATTACTATCTATTTTTTATTATCTACTTTTTACTCTTTTCCAAATGAATTTATATATTCATACTATATATAATATGTTTCATTTGTAATTGCATTATTAAAATACTGAAGCCATGCAATAAAAAATGTCAATCGAATCGATTCCCGATTAAGTATAATAGGTGACTATTATAGTTATTATACAATATAGTATACTCGACTCTAGCATCAGTTTTTTTCTTCAATTAGTAAAAGAATAATAAAATTACAAAAGGTAGAGACTAGAGGAACCATAAAATTTTTGTTGACGCGAGTGGACTTCAAGGCCAGTCGACTTAGCGATGACGATCATTTTATATCTCAACAGGTGATTAATATCACGACAAAAGGAAAGATTTTTTCAGAGTAGTTATTATGTTAGTGGTAGTAGGAAAAATGGATTAACCATAAATTTATATATATATAAGGATAAAATAAAAGGTCATGGCTACGGCAACGTCTGTATAGGTAATACTGCTGCAGCTGCAGACTCGACAATAATATATCTAGGGATTTGGATGTTTGGTGAATGATATATGATAATGAATACAGTCGTGACGGTGGCGTCGACGTATATACTTGTGTCATAGTGATTTTCTTTAGTGTTTACACACAGTATATCATTAAAGAGACAATAATATACGATGATAACAGATAAACAGACATTTTTCCTTTCTTTTTTGCTCTCCGATCCATATAATTGCTACAGTGTTTATTTTTATTTTAAATTTACAATTATTACACGTGCGATGTATTTTGCATACTCAGATATTTTGAAAATATCAAAATACTATTTTATTATAATATATTTAAAAAGTTTGAAACATATTTCAATATGAGTTAAATATTTAATGAGTTCCCTAACTTTTCAAACGCGCCGTCGTGTTATTGATTGTATCCGAATTCAAAATTATAAAATGATGTTAAATGGGAATTTTCTCAAACTTGATTTCTCATAGGAAAAATAACTTTTCGCGTTTCCACGTTACCGTTGCCATATACCTCAAATAATATTACGCGAAGGAACATGGCGAGTGTATTATATTATCCATTACCCGTATTTAGGTATTTTTACCTAAACTACCCAAATACATTTTCAATTATTGGTGATTTATATATTAAAATAAAAATATGCACATAAATCTTAAAATACAATATCCGATTGACAAAGAATCATGAGATGATTTTCTGATATTAAAAATAAATTTTTAGAAACATACTATAGAAATCCGTATCAATGTTATAATAGATCTTTGGCCTACTAATTATTATAATCGTATAATATTATAGGGCACATCCGGTGTTTTAATTATTTGAACCTTATTATCAGTCAGAATCGATTAGTTTTTCGAATAATTTAATTATTATTTATTAAAATATTCAATATCGCACTTATTCTAAAATTCATAATTTATTGTATTTTAGTGAGGTTTTGAAGTTTGAGAATTTAGATTCATATCATTTAAAAATGTATTTTAATCTATTTCAGGATTATTTCGTATTATTGGCGTATTATTTTACATGATTACATTATATTTAAAAGTCTTTGCGGTTACTATTATCTACGTAAATATTGTTGTTACAATTCTTTGTTCAGATATTAATAAGTAAATAATAGATGAATAATTGGAATTTGTATACAACGAAGGGACCAAAGTAATGTGGTATGTATATCTATGTGCCACAAAAAAAAAAAAAACAAAATTGACTAGTTAGATGATACCACACTCACTTTATTGTGCAATTTAGTACGTGATAGAATAATAATTGTAGAAATAAGTACGTTCGTTCGACATGCAATTAGTTGCATAAAAATTGCAAAATTTTGATACAGGTTTGAACTCCGTGGGGCTATGTGGGGGGGCCAACTTCACGAACGTGAAATAAGTAAACATAATAGATTATTATAAAGTATCACTATGGTGAGAAATACCGAATAATACCACTAGAGAAATGGTTGGTAAATATTTCTACTCCTCCCATCATTTAATATTTTATACTTGTCATTAATATTTTCAACTTTTGTTTTTGTTTACAGTGTTTGTGTACCTATGTTTTTTAGTCAATATGATAAATAGTTATTTATAATTATAATACTTAATAGTTTATAATTGTGTGTCAAGTTGTTGATACCTAATAGTTTAAGAAATTATTTTTGGACAGCGTTATCAGTCTATAGTCAGTGTTTTGTGTTTGAAACCTACAGTCGTATACTCGTATGCATAAAGTCATATTCGTGACAAAAAAAGCATCGGTTGCACCATATGCATTTTTGATTAACTAATATCAAAGTTGAATCAAATTTAATGTGATTATCTATGCCAATTTCGAAAAAATTTGAATATAAAACTTTTTAATAAATTATTTAAACTGCTTAATTTATTTTAAAATTCCATCAAAAACATCTAATTCAGACCTAAAATATTTCAATTGAAATTTTGAACGCTTAGATATAAACAAAAAACATATCTTTAGTACCTTGATAAAATGATAATATTATAAGAAGCATTGTCCTCTAAAAAGAAAAGTTGAGGAATTGATGATATGATTTTGGATATGATGCAGTGGAAAAATATCTAGTGGCATGTTATATTTTATCAGGAATTTAATTTATTATTTTTATTATTATTGAATTGTGTTTCTATGGCAATAAACAAAGCGTTATAAAAATTGTACCTATCCAGTCCAAAAACAAATTATTTACATTAATGATTAATATAATGACTATATTTTCTAATATTTTAAACCACTGTAAGCATTACATAATATCAGTAACCTTGAATTTCGTTTTCACATTTCCTTTTAATGAGAAACGAAAATGAAAACATTTTAATTGTCTATAAATTGTTTAAAAAATGTCAAAATTATCTTTTCTAGAAAATGCAATATATAAAAAATATTGTTGTGTCGTTAATTGCTAATTTCTAGAACGATTAAAGTTATATTATATTAAAATCTATTTTTTGTTTCATTACATTAAATAGATCTTCGACCTATACGTTTGTTTTCGTTGTATCTAATCGTCATGGCACGAACATCACTACGGCCGCTCAGTATATTATTCGACATCGATTTTCCTCGATATATCCCGTTCGAAGCCGTAATCCATCTACTATAATAACTAACTCTGCCACACTTACTGGAGCAGCTAGACGTGTAGTATAATATAACTGTAATCCTACACTTGCAGCTTTTCATATACATGCGTATCGAGTTACAATGTTTATGTTATTAAAACATTCATTTTTTTTTTACTTTAATGGTTTCACTCAGTGTAGTCTAGAGTCTAGAGTCGAGAACGGTCTTCGACCGTTCATTATAGTTAGTATGATTTGTGTATAATACGAGTATAATAATATTTAAATATTATAGTATATTAGTGCATACATTGTATATAATAAACATTACAATGTATTATAAAATTAATTGAAGTACAATATTATTATCTGTTCCTAAACATTATAGTAAATAATGTACAGCTGTACTTGGTTATACTTTTAAAGGTATGACACTTAATATTTCAATGTTTATAGGTATACTTAAAGCACAACATTTTATGGTTAAGTATTAAGTTTTTTTTTTTTTTTTATATGTCATTCAATAAATGTGTGCCACACCGAACGTTACCGTCACGTCATCGTGTTATATCTGTATCCATATAAACCTCACTATACATTTTAGATTCTATGCGTAACGATAATGATTCATCATTTTTAATTACTATATTAATTCATTTATGTTTCCTATTTTGAATGAAATCAAAGTCTTTAATTGGTCTAGAAAAGTGGTACAAATTAGGATTATACATTAATATTTTTGTATTGCTGAGTAAATCCATGTATATACATCGTATAAATACACCGGGTATTATAACCCTATGGGTTGTACAAGTAAAATTTAGAATTTTATAACAATTTTTATTATAAATTGTCCGTAAATTGCAGGCCATAGTTGGATTTTTATATTATTATCATTTGGTTTTATACAAACGGAGAAATGCTAAAAATATTTACTGGAAATAATTTATAAGTTTGGTAACACATTAATATTGGAAATTGGAATATTTATATTTTTCTAGATATCAATTTTGAATTAGGTGTAACATGTTTAACAATAACTGATGCTTTTTATTTATTTTTTATTATTACTAAGAGTATCTAAAAATTAGTTAACCTATACCAGAAAAAAGTATGAAAAATGCACCAAAATATTGAAGTCACTATTTTTCTGGGTGGAAAATTTTTTAGGACTGAATTAGTTACCGCCAATGTCAGTGACTTGTTTCGCAGAAATTTCATTAATTTTTTTCTAGAGTTTATTAAAATTCTAAGTTGTGCTACGTTACCTGCAATAATAACTGAAGAAAAACGCAATGTAACAAGTCCTTTGAGGTGACTTTTAGGGCAATAAGCCCACTTGCACAAACATTGGCAGTGAGTACCTTTGTACTATACAATATTGTTAATTAAATTTCGGTGTATTTTTCAGACACCTATCACGTGTATTTTCACCGTTGAATTTTTAAACGTATTTTTACATAGATACATACGTTTTTATTTTTATAAAGACAAAAGATTATAAGTATACAAATTACAAATTAAATTTAGGAAGAGTAGTTCATAAGTAATAAGTATTAAATGTTTCAATGAGTGGAGTTAGTGTATGGGGTTAATGGTTATCCTACAACATTTTGGTCCACTACTCCACTCATTAAAACTTTAAACATTTAAACATTCATAATTCATACACTACTCTTCCTAAATTATATAGTACATATTCTATGTATCAAAATACTAAAAAAAAAATATTTTTTTTTTTGTTGATAAACGCGTTGTTTTGTATCGACTTGTCCATTATGTAAAAAAAATATTTTCAAAAACATTTTAACTTCTTCAATAACGAGTGTTGTACATTCAATGAATCACTCGGTATCGTTTACTCTGGCGTGTTTAACGGTCAATCGATTTGTTTTTGCAGAACGATTTGAAGCGGTCAGGCAAGAGTTCGGTCGATTCGGGCGGCGACTTCCCGATGATCAGCCAAAATGCACGACCGCCAGGACCGTACGTCGTACCGGAAGTCCTGTTGCGTTACTTAAGCGTGGGCGCTGACGGCACGCCTTTGCTAACCACAATCACGCCGGACATGGTCGATCAAACCGATTACGGCGATTGGTCGAGTGATGACTACGTTGACATGCCAGATAGACCTTTTCAATAGCGCTTGGAATATGCCGTTAACATGCGATGAGGCCGTGACTATGTCAACATCGCAGATGTCCAGTTTCAAAGGCATTTATCTAATTTACGGATCAGCCGTATACGCAGTATAACAATAATAATGATAATACTTAATAATATTTAATATTGATTGAAGTTTTCAAAATCAACTTACACTTTAATCCGAACAATATTATAATATTATGTTTAACCGGTTACATAACTATTACTTTTGTATATACCTACCGTAGTTTCAATTCAGTAGACTTTTGTGATTTTTAAAAACTACTTCGATGAAAAATATATTTTATTTCGTAAACCGACAACAGCAATAATGTAGATGGTTAAATGCATCACTCTGTATATGGATACGTATCACTTAGTTTTTTTTTAATATGACTTCATTTGATCGATATTTCTTTACGTCGTGTCGAGTCATTTTGGTATCACGTGGTTTTAAATTGATAATTTTTTGTTTATACATATACATTACAAGGTTGTGTTATTAGAAACCGATTTTTGGCTTTTGATAGGACGTCTGTGAAAGCATTTAACAGATTATATAATTATATTTTAACTAAAACATTTTGTATTTTACGTTCGTTTATCGGAAGCGAACAACAATGATATTATGTACAAGTCCAACAATATCTACCCAATTATAATAATATATTGTCTTTTATCCCAATATTTGTTGTGTAGCTATGTTTTATACTCATATAATATTATTATTATTGTTATTATCAAGCGCTCGCTATTATTGTGTGCGGCAACTAATGAATTAAACCTATTAAGCCCAAAAATGCGTTGATCGACGTTCTAATCAGTAAAGTTTTATATTATTTAACCTTTTTTTTCTTTTTATTTTTTTAAAACTCTTTTTGTTTCGTTACATTGTGTTCGGGATAACAATGGTTTTCAGTAAACAGTATATACGCGCCTGACGTACCCGGAATAAATAAGATTTTATATAATAATGGGATATCATTATTCATTTTAACAGTGTTGTATACCGTTGCAGGATTTAATCACGTATAATAAAGTAATTTCTTTCTCTCGTTAAGTTTAAACTGAAATGTGTGGTGTATCAAACGTGTACCTATATACATTAAATTGCATTACAATATTGCAATAATATTAAATGATATCGAATAATAATTCACTGGATCGGATTTAATCTTTGACTGTAATATATATTTTTATCAAATGTTATATAAACTGCTTTACGTTTTAGTTTATTATACGGCCTACTTACATGTACATTGTACATATCATAGAGTAATATTATTACTCTATGGTACATATATATACTCAAACAATTCACAAAATAGCTAATTATTGATAAATGTTTGCTCAATCACTGCGTTTTAATGAGTTTTTATATATTTTACACTTTTAAATGCCAACAGTTAATGAGAAGAAAATTTTCCAAGACTTTATAGAAGTCTATTTTAAAAGTTGTTACAAAAATGTCTACCAAATTTGTTTATTTGATATTCTGATCCACTGGATTTGATACGTAGAAATATATAGACTGATATTAAAAACAAAAGAAAATTTAAATGTACAACAAAAGTTTGAAAAAACCCGTATTTTTCTCAGCCAGAAATAGGTATATATATGTATATAAGTAAACGGCCCCATCTTGAAAACATAACACAACGATGCAAATACGAAAAATGAGTTTCATCGTCCGCTGTAATACAATACTAGGTATATAATATTATAAACGACGCAGATGATTTTTTATAGCACGTTGGACAAGAATACGACACATTACATTTTATGCGCCACTGCTGCAGGTTATGTTTATAATTTTCAGTTATATATTTTACAGGGTGATTCGCTAAGCACGCTTACTACATTTCCTATGTACTAATTAAAATTACGATTTTTGGAATATTGGATTATCCTCTATGAAAACAAATTTTTAAATACAGAGATTTTTGTATGCTATTGTTAGACGAAAACTTCATTTTTTTTACCATAAGAACCACACCATTTTGCTGTAAATTATTAAGATGGAATTTTTGAAAAATTGCATAACACTTCATGACTATTTTAGAATAATTTGKATGGGCACTATTTTTAATTAATTATATCAAATAGATGTATTCATAGTATAAATTTTTTATAGAATATCAAAAATATCGATTGATTACAATATTGATGACTGATGAAAAATAAATAGGATTGAAACAATCATATTATATTGTTTATGAATAAAACGGTAGTGAACACGACTGATAGATCACCTGTGAAGTATGCATATACAATATACATAATATTATATACGTTCGTAGATAGGTCGACTCGACGAAGTCGTACCATATGACTGGAGCTGTGCAATATGTTATTATGTGCGTCCGACGAGTGGTCGTAATGTCATTTGTAGGTGGTAATAATATGGGCATATAGCTATAGTTAAGTTATTGTCGGTCAGTCGCCACAGCCGTTGATGAGACCGTTTCCCGACAGCAGTTGCGAACCCCAATAACACCGGACCACGGCGACGATGATAATAATAAAAAATAATAATATATCATTGCGGTTGATACGATATCGTCCTGTAGTGTGTAACCTATTGCGGTGTTGATTTTATCGAAATAATACAATTAGAAAACTAATGAAACGCCGCAGAAGTCCGCAGCAATCATTCTCAGCCGTCGCATGTCCACGTCAAATTTTAAATTCTAGATATGCTGTGAAGGTCTACGATTTTCTACGAACGGAAGGAAATTTACAAATTCATCACCGACCTTTCTGTCCACCAATTCTGCCATATTTCAACTATACAAAACCAAATGTTTTTCGTAATTTATCCCCAAGCCCTCATCCACCGTTTACTTGCGCCACTGTTGCGGTTTATACGGTGCAATGGCTGTGGAAAAGAGGGGTAGTTTATTAAAATATTATGTGTTTTATTCATCGCTTAAACCATCGACTAGGCCACGTCATGCCACTGGTCGTTTCAGAGTGCAGTACGTTAAATGTACAGGAAGCCCGAACGCGTGTCGCCAAAGGGTTGTTCAGTCCACTGCGGTACGCGAAGCCGATGCGATCACTGTCGTGCAAACATTGGTAATTATTATTATTCAACATTTTTTTCTGTATATATTTTTAGGAACATACTTTAAGCAGTCAGCAAGTACATAATATAAGGTTTAATATCCAAATGTATATTAATTCTCGTTTGCAAACGACCGCGTTGCTTTAAATTTCAGACTCTAACGATAAAAATAGTATATATTATTGATTTAAATTTTAAACAGAGTTTATTTCATTGTATTTTATATTATTACTATCATTATTACTGTTATACATTTAAAGGCATATACATAGGTTATACGCCTGCAGACGGAACACAATTGTATAAAAGCGACGTTCATTTTTTATTATCAATATTATTATTATTATTATAAATATTATTAATGAATGACACGCCGTAATAAATAACATTAACTTTATAATAGCTTCAGTACACACATGCKCATGTTGATCGCCCCATAAAATATTCTATACGTTTTTTCCTTCCTATTATACATACATATTTATTATTATTATAAATTATATATTTTTTTATGACTTCCGAAGAGAAAACAAAGAGATCGGGATAACGAGTCATAATAACGTGGCATACTATAATATATATAACATGTAAAACAAATTCGAAATCCACATCAAACACTTACATGAGTACACGACGTATAATATTTATATTATTAATTGTACAAGCGATATCAAAAATTATCCCTGTCGTTGTCTTCTGCTAAATTGATCGCGTTTTATCGATCATTCGCCGGCGATTTTTGGCGAAAATGATGAGTGTTTTTATTTTGGAATTGCGTTCGATTTTTAACTGTATATAAATTCTCCCCACCACCAGGGGTAATGACTAATGATTCACGCCGCGGTTCATTACGACGATATTACTGTAGGTATACATGTATATATATGTTTACACTATTATAGTAATATTTCTACCAACGAACGACAACAACGATGACGGCGACGGCAACCCTATATAATCATTATTATAAATTTACAATCCGACGTTAAGGTATCGATTCGAAAACGTAGTCACCAGTCACACACTTGCAGTCATCGGTGCTTTTTCGTAGTGTCCAGTTCGTTTTACGTAATACGTTACACGCGCCAAAACAGTATCATATATAGGTACATATTATATTATAATGTATACAGAGTGAGTGAGATGTGGTTGTTTTCCACATTAATTGTATAATATACATTATTAATTATAAGATATAACGCATTCAACTCTATGTATAGTAGGATACTATATTAAGCTCAAATTGTTGCCCACGACCATGGTATATCATCGTAACCGTGTTATACCATAAAATATATTACTTCGACCATTTATCTATATTCTATACACTATTCCTTTCGATTTTCATTCCACAATCATCACGCCGTAGTATGCCGAGTCATTGGAGGGGAAATGATGACCGAGAGTGTTAGGGAGGTGTGATTGAGGGGAACTAGGATTTGAAGGGTTTCTTAATGGTGTTGGTTATCGCGATCACGTTTCCACCGACCAGTCGAATCCTACTACGTCAGTCGATCATGGTATATCGGCAGCAGTGATGCAGTACACCTAGATTTTTCGTTTTCAAGGTAAGTCCACATACGCGTACCCTGGGCAAAAAGGGAAATCCTCAAACTTTAAAACGATCGTTTTACGTTCAAATATTTCCTTACAACAGCCCCGAAAATCATACAGGTTGTCGCTGTTGTCGCTAATGTCCGTATCTATTATTATATACGAGTACTTAGTTATACTTCATTACAATTCACTGTACACTATAAATATTTTACGAATGTATTAGATTCAATATCTACATAAGTATAATTGTCTATGTGTTAAACTTTTATCATTGACACTAATACACCGTGTTATTTAGTACTAATTAACTAATGAAATCCAAATTATTTTCAGTTCTAAGATATTATAGAAGTCAAGAAATCTGTATGTAGACGTTTGTAACACCTACAAGTTTAATTCCAATAATATTTAATCAGTCTACGTCCAATTTGGCCCATAGCTTTGGTCTGGTGACTGTGCAGCACATTGCCCGGACGAGGTAAATTTCATTATACTACCTATTCCATACTTAGCACGTAACACTCCATTAAATTTTATTAATTATTAACCTGTTTGATATTATATCCTTGCAATATTGTACCTAACCATCTCGCGTTTAAATCGAGTAGGTACCTAATACACTATGGTATATAGGTTAGGTCAGAAATTAACATCCAACCCAACATTTATTATATAGACACAATTTTTCACTCGACGTTTATTTATTTATTCAAATATATTTTACACCAATCGGCAGTTAACAAGGTTATATGTATGGTGGAAATGAGAATTAAGTAACAATAACAATAAGAAATAGCATAGATGCAAGGCCGTAGCCAAGATGAATAGGGTTCAGACTCATACCCCCAAATTAAAAAATTACTTTAACATTTTAAAATTTGCTTGTCAAAAAACATATTTATATTCTAAACACCATAAAAAAAAATATTTTATCAGGCATAGCGCCCATAGCCATACGAGTGATACGATTAGTAATAGAAGGTAGCTAAAACAACTAAGGCTCATTTAGACTCGTAACTAGGAGCATTCTGTATAATGAATGATTATAACTATTTATAACCATATAGACAGTAGAATGGTTTGAGATTTAAAAATGGACTAGGTTTCGTTCCACCGGTATGAAATTGGAATGGAATTTCAGCAAGCAAATTGGGAGCGCTTAAGGTACTGAGGTTTACGAGGTACTTATAAGTTTTTCTCCTAATATATGATTTTGAACTAGTGAAATTTAACAAACAATTTTAGTATGATACAATGTATATGTATATAGTAATCAAACAGCATTACGACTGTCCCGCTGCGAATTCGGATGAAATTCGTCATTGTCAAATTATGGCAATATTATATCGTTGGCAACGAGTCAGACCGTAACATAATAATATTATTATATAGTCGATTAAGATAATACGAATGAGTGTATGTAGACGTCGTTAAATCGCAAGCACTTGTACAAACACGCCATGTACACTACCACAGCGGCAGTGGCAGCAGCTGCAGCCTAGCGTAGAATTAATGTTTGCTAGGAAGCCCTATTCGCTTAATTTAGCATATTAAGACGCTATGCCACCCCATCCCCACGCCACCATAACAAGGCCCAAAAACCACCACTAAAACACACACGCACCGACCCAGCGCCCCCACCAACGCGCATGGATTTGTAACGCCGACCCTAAATTTAACACGATGTACCTATACATATTTTATTATTAAACGTTGGTAACTGCGGTACATATAGAATCTATAGGTGTACAATACACGACGCGTTATTAATATAATATATGTATGTTGTGTGTACGCGCGTTTAGAGGAGAGGGCAACACCGGTCCACACCGTATGTGTATAAATATGTGCTCAAGCCGGTGGCGGTGTTATTGTAATATTATTATGTACTGTTAATATTATTTCGTACTTACCTGCCTTGCGTATTATAATAGCCATGTTGTCGATTCGTTAAATTCTCCCTCGCTTATACTACGTATAACGCTTTAATCGTATCGACCCGTGCAGTTTTTCGCCCTTAGTTTTGACGCAAACACGCGCAGTCCTTCAGCTTGGCGCCCTCCCCCCCCCATCAACAATTCGTCGCACACATGGTCCAATTATAATAATATAGTGTTAATACCTAATTGTTATAGTTTTCGCAACTTGCTACTTCCATACAATATAATATAATAACTAGACATGTTTTTATACCTATACATTATATATTTTTTTTTATTAGTCAAGCATCAACTACACAGGTTTTAGCTTTTTACAAAAATTTTACACATTTACAATTTACATTTTTTTATACAAATCTATATTTTTTAAATATAAGATTATATTATGGTAGTTGGAACATGGACCAATTGCTTCGTAAAGGCTGTCGGGGATGTCAAAGTGTTTCCTAGCTTCATTGAAGTTTGAGCAGTGGACAATAATGTGTTTGATGGAGTAGTTTCCATTGCATGTTGGGCATAGGGGTGGATCTGTCTTTGCCCTAGGTGTTCAATGTACATGTGTAAATTTCGTGTGGCCAATTCTGAGTCTATTAAAAATTACTTCATTTTTTCTGTTCAGATCAGTGTACTTCGGTCTTCGGCCAGAGTTCAACAGAGTGTTTAATTTCTCATAGTTTGTTTTCCGTGATCTTGTGCCATTTAGTATTCCATAAATCAATGCAAATATACGTTTATTGTATTGTAGACAGGCACTCTAACTCGACAACTGACAATTATTATTAAACGTTTGATATGTTTTCTTTATCAGTCTTTTATGAAGCTTATTTTCCACAGCTATTCAAATGTTCAAATGTTTCTCTATTACTAACCTACCTATAATCTATACGTATCATTGACCAACATAATACAATGCGTCAAATCGTATTCTTTTTTTTCTTTTAGCCCTAATTTAGAACAATTTTGGCATTTATGTTGAGTTTTAAGACTTATTTATTGAAAATGTCCAGAATAATAATATTTACTTTTACACATATAGCTAGTGTTTTGTTTATTAATGGTTTATTATACAATTTATATCCATATGATGTTTTAAACATTTAAATTTATAAGCCAATAAGTATTACGTCATAATCAAAAAGGTTTTAAAAATATTTCCTAGTGCTTATATTAACATACAGGTAGCTGTAGCACACGCTTATGCAGTGGTAATTCCAATATTATATTCAAATATAATTTAGTTTAAAAAAAAAAAAATGTATTATTGCAACACTTCAAATAATTGTTAAATTAATTAAATATTTTGTCTATTTATTGGAACTTGCAAGAGCGTCGAAGAACCTATAGGATAGCTGCAGGCCAATCTTAAGTGAAAATGTTGTATAAAATATAATACAATACGAATGACGTCAATCTTTATAGCCACCTACCTATTAATATCGAATTAGGAAATATTTTTGGTATTTTTCCGTGTGTCGATGAGTTTTAAAATAATTGTCAAACTGTCATTAAATGTTTCCGTTGAAATCTACCACTGAAAATGTCCAGATATTTTGCCGAGTTATATCATAATCGACGAAAGTACATCATAAATAATGATTTAATTGGTGACATGTGCTTGTGTGATTTATTAAAAATCAATTTTTACTTATATTATTTTTACCGACTCGTTCCACCGTCGTATAAACAGCCATACTGGGTGATTACACAGGTATGCTCGCTCCTCTTTTTTCTTCAATAACGGAGTTAATGAGCTAAACTATCTGATTTATTAGCAATGACGTATCACATATGTTTCTAAAATGATATGATATTATTGTTTTTTCCTTCGCAGGACATCACACCGATGGCGAACGAATGCACGCCGTTGACTAATACCGATGACGTCACACCGGTATCAGGTTCCGAGTACTTTTCGCTGTCGAAACATGAAACTGATCACACTCCTCCTTGCCTAAAACCTAGATGCTGTGTGTACGCCGCATTGCTGTGAGTTGTTATTTTAATTATTATAAAACGATTTAATATTATCAACTATACTGCGCTCACATGATACAATAAATTGATTTATTTCTCGAGGCATTCTGCGATTCTATAGATCGGCTAGAAAATAAAAATGTCATCAACCTACTTAAGTTGTAAACATATAATATTAATTATGCTGATCTAGAGTATTAAACCGCTCTATCGTATTACTTTAATGTATTTATAATCGTTCACAGCTTAACAAGAATGAATTAATATTGGTTTATACCCATTTTGCCGACAACTCGATTTGCCGACAATTATACCAGTTTTAAAATATTTTAAAAACATTCCCATTTCGCCGACAGTCTAGTTTACCGACATCTTGGTTTGCCGACAAATTATAAATATAGTTTCAATTTTCTCGATTCACCGACAGGTAACAATCATTTTTATCAAAAACGGATTTTATGAAAGCGATAACACAGTATATGTTGTCGATAAGTTCAATGATTAAATGATTTCCCACATATAAAATCCAGAGGGAGTWCAGATTGGTGAATTTAGTTCGTTCCAGCCGTGTGTACTGTAAAGTTCAAAATTTAATAGTTAGCCAGTTAAAAATTAAAATGGAATGGTTTAAAATAAAATCATGATTTATTAGTAGTAATTTTATTCATCGAGTGGATAGAATACGGGACACAATCGAATATTATAAATGCATACAAAATTGCGGCGGTCGTGCTATTTTGAAAAATAAAACTGACGTAATATTATCGAAGCCTCACAATCACCCAACACACGGAGTTGAGTTGGCTAATCGGGGCTTTCGAAATAAATTGAAAGTAAGTACAAATTTTGTAATGTTTAAGTAGAAATTATAAAAATATAATTTCAAATATAATATAGTACTTATTAAGCGCATTATTTTCCGAGTTTTGTTTGTTTTTTTTTCTAAACTTTGATTAATGAAGGAGAAACTTACTCAAAACCTAAGGCATTTAATGAAATTAGGAGATCTGTCATAACTTCAGGAATATAGAAGGTGCTACAAATTCGGAAGTTATAGATGCTATTCCCGTACTCACCAGTATAAAAAGTTTTATAATATACCTATAGTATAATATAATGTTTATTTTTTTTATATAATATTTATATTCGGCGAATTGAGAGTCGGCGAACTGGGGTGTCGGCAAATTGGGTTTCGGCGACGTGGGAAGACACGTTAATATTCAACCAGAATTTTTTTTTTAGGTTTTCAAATATTATTGATTTTAATACTATTACAATTTAAATAATATCCATAAATTATATTTATGTATCTACATAATTTCCTAATCTAACAAATGACTTCTTATAAACATGTTGAATAAAAATAAAATCATAAAACATAAAAATATTTCTGTTTATGACCGAATGAATGAAAATATGTTACTTTTTATAGATATATTTTTTTTTACTAATGAAAAGATCTTATTATATGGATCTTTTTTATAATATTAATTCGTTATATCAGTGTGATAAATATTTAGATAAAAATGAGGTACGTAAAGTTATAGGTACATTTAAATGTTTATAAGTATGATGATTGTTTATAAATTGAAGTGGATTTGTAATTGCTCAATATATTTTGTCATCGTAATGTTCATAGGTAGTTTTTATTTCAAAAATACGTAATTTGCTCTCACGATATTATATATAATAACTATACGAAAACATAACAAATATTATTTCTTTAAAAACTCGTCTCAATTTTAAATTATTTATAGAACTTTAAAATTGTTTTTCTTATTATTTTATGGATTAAAAACAACATAGCACATATCATGGATTATCGTTCTTTTATTTAATATTTCATTTATTTAGAGAAATTCGAAATAATCAATAAACCTACTTGAGCCATTTATGTCGACAAATTAAATATGTTAATTGAAAAAAAAAAATGAATTTGAATAAGTTAGCCTTTAGAATATTATTAATATTGATATTTAATATTATTCAAACAAAAACGAGATTATACATGCTTTTATAATTTATTTTCATTTATATAATACAATATATTATTAATAACAACCATTTTATAGATGGCATAGATCAAATACAATTTGATTTGCTGCTTACAAATATTAACATAATATAGMTATACAGTTAATATAAATACATCTTTATCACATTATCCGTTGTATCATTTCATTAAAATACCCACTTTCAAATAAAGATTAATATTTAAAAATAATTAAAAAGTTAAAATTATAATTTAGCAAAATATAAATAATGTATTCCAGTATTTCTGTAGGTAACATCGCAGCTTATAATACTACAAACTTAAATCGTTTTCGTTAAGCGTATTTATAACATAATATACTACAAATTTAATATAATAGGTACAATTTTTTGAATTTTAAAATGAAAACGATCAATAATTATTAACTGTCCAAGTCTAATTTGATTTCGTTTTGATAGTGATTAAGTAGTACCTACACGAAATTAAAAAATAAAACGTAGAAAAAATATCTAAGCTTTCTAAAGGTATTTTTTTTTTTTTTTTTTTTAACAACCGTGTAAAACCTTCAAAGACAAAAATACCTTGAAATGTAAATACCAATTTGAAACAAACGGGCTCAAAAATTATAAATTAAACACCATCCTCCATTGCTATTGTACGGAATAATATACTTTTTTCTAAACGAATAAAAAGAATAACAGCGAAAATTATCAACAAATATTTAACTATAAAAACATTACCACAATACTTAATGTCGAGCGACAATCGTAATATTATACAAAAATAATAATACGAATTCGGATAGATTTAAATGAAAATTATATTGCAAAGTTTTTCCTATTTATATCACAACCCAATATTTATAAAATAGATATCCATACATAATTATATAATCATCATGGGTCTGAAAAAGATTAAGTTTCTCAATCAAGAAATTATAGAGTCCCCTATGTATTTATTTAAAGCGTTTCGAGTACTAGTCATTGTCAGGCTTCTATATGTTTCGACGATTATACGTTGTTGCGTAACGTTATCGACTATCGTAATAAAATAATAGTATTATACATACAATACTTATCATTAACGAATTTTCATCATTTTCCTTAGTGGACGAGAAATTCAAAAAATTAACATATAATCTAAACGCATTATTTATGTTAAATACAAAATCGTCATTTTTCTATATAATATGTAATTTATTATTTGAAATTTAAACTTTTACACATATTTTTTTTACAAATTAAAATCAATTTCCTTTATTTTTGCTAAGTTTAATCATGACTGTGTCAACTGCAGTTAAACATATACATATCATTCGATAACATTACCGTTCAATATAGCCTGAAATTGAATTTTATAGAGAATTTTTTTTTTAATGTTTGGCATAATAATTTATTATAGTCATATAGATGCCAAACAGATGCCTAATATATCAGTATATTTTATTAGACATGTTTTGATTCATTCATTTATCGTCTAAAATATTCGTTCCACTATCACCGGCAGTGGAGTGTTGACTGCATGATTTTTAAGGGCAGTTGCTCGATAGTTTTAAAGGAGTGGGATACTGGTGCTGAGTGGATGAGTACAGGATTTAATGAGAAATTTTAGTACAAAACTAACTTCATCTGAATATGATATTTAATAAGAAGAATAGCTTCAATAAAATGTATTGTTTTAAGTAGCCAAGGGATGATGGGTCATTCAAAAAATGAATCACCCGATAAAAATTTCATTTCACAACGCCATTGCAGATTATCGGTAACTATATAGGTCGTCACCTATATACACATTGGCCCTAGACGTACGCTTACGTTTATTTAGGCACATCTCATAATATAATAATATATATATTATTATACTATATATTATTATCGTGATGATAATTTTATTTTATTTGTTTAAACCGCGGGATACGGCAGGCTTCAAGTTGCCACCACAGCAGTTTTCCGTTTATTAAATTGGACTTTTACGTTTGAATAATATAATCGTTTAGCGTTTGATAATGACATTTTAGTAACGTAGGTATATATACACGCATATCATATACGTATTCGCGCGTTATATTGTGCGTGGTAAAACCATTTATAATATTAAACCGGAAGAGAACGTGCAAAATGTGTTGCTGTTTAATAGTATCTCGTTTATCCGACACGCAGTCGCGGGTAATCAAAAATGTATGCACCATCGCCATGTCTCCACGATAATAAAATATAAATAATAAAATCGGTTTTCAAAACTTTCCATATATACAAGGTATAATAAAACATTACTAAATGCGTGCCATAAAACAAAAAAATATGCTATTCTGAGCGTGAATCATTTCATATCAAATGTGCAATGGTGTAATAATATATAATATTATAATATACCGTGTGCCGTTTACCTACGAGACTTATCATACTCGTTTTTTTTTTTTTTTAACAATTATTATTTTACAATAGTAAATACAGGCATGACAGTGTACAATACTGAAAACCGGAATCAAAATTGTAATATCACAACACAGCTGCTGCTGCTGCTACAATGACGGTTAATAGCAGTTGAAGTTCTAAAAAGATATTAAAATGCATGCGATTCAAAAAGTGTACAGCTCGACAATTTTATTTCTGAAAATCACGCGACACGCTGACAGGTGAATTGCGAGCATAACAATATAAAGGATAAAATATATTATGTATATCGTGTATAAGGAAAAATTAAGACCAAACCATGTTCTCGAGAAAGGAGTAGGGGAGGGGGCTGAAAACAAAGAACAAAAATAAAAGGATATTATTAATAATCATTCCAAAATAGGTACCTTTATAGATTATTAATTGTGCGCTCTTTGCATAGTAGTTAGATACGATTTTGACACAGATGGAAAAATAATAATACGAACACGGTTTTTCCAAACGACTAATGTCGTTCGGTCTCTCCATAAATCTCGAGTTAACCCCTTTCCGTATAGTTTTTCTCCCGAGATATTCAAACATTTTCATAGAAATAACGTCGCATTTCTGTGTTATTTAATAACAAC